CAGCTCCTCCAAGAACACAGAGGCCGAGATGCCCACTACGGCAGAGGGGGAGCGGGAGGTGCCTGAGAGTGAAGCAGGGCCTCCCGGGCTGCTGGGAAAGTTGGCGTTTGCTCTGTTTGTAAACAGTCAGGTCACAGGACCAGGAAGTGGGATTCCACAGAAATGCAGCAGCTGCAATGATCTCTCAGGCCAAGGGCCAAGCAGCAGGGAGTTAATGGTCACCCTGCTGGGCCCTCTCACCCCACCCGCCTGAGGCAAGCCTGGCCCAACTTCCTGCTCCACCAAACCCCATCCTGCCAGTGGGGTGAGCCTGCCCGGAACACAGGCCCTGCTGACACACGGAGGGACAGCCCATCACACCCTGGTCCCCGTGGTCTCACCTCCTCCAACACCACTCAGCCGGGCCTGCCTGGAGCTGACCCCCCACCGAGGCCGGGCCTGCTCAGGCACGTCCACACGGACCACCACGTGCCTGCACACCCAGGTGGTTCAGCTCCTTCTCTTCCAGTGTCTGGAAGGGACCAGGCACCAAGCCCAGTGAGGACGGTGGTGAAAGAGGAGGCGGTGTGGCAGGGACGGAAAGAGGCCCAGAGAGGGCAGACACTCCGCTGGGGTCACACAGCAGCGGGTGCTAAGCCTGCCAGCCTGGCATCTCCTCCTCTCTGGGCACCGAGCCCAAACTTCCCCAGCCAGGCCTCACCAGCCTCCTTCACAGCCATGGACCGAAAATGTCCAGGCGACGGCAGGAGGGCAGGAAAGGGTCAGGACGGGGCAGCAAAGGGTGGAGTGAGAGGAGGGCCGAGAGCTCGGGTGTCTCCCCCTCCTCCTCTCACCCAAGGCCTCACAAAGGCCCTTTGAGGCCGGCCTCCTTCCCCAAAACCGGACAAAGGAGAGAGAAAGGCGTGGGAGCGGTGGCCCAAGAGGCAGGAATCTGTGGCCGAGCCAGGAGGCTGCTGGGAGTTCTGGAGATTCTAGTGTGGCTCCTGGGGCTGAGGTCAAAAGCAGCACGGACCCTTTCTCTGTTGTCGGGGGGAGGGGAGGGGGCCGGAAGGCAGGACTTCTGGGTCCCTGCCCAGCTCTGCTGATGGCTCGCTGGACACTCCGGGCACCCACCTTCCCCTCTCAGCCTCAGTTTCTCTTCCTTACTCAGTCTAAGGAAATACACAGGGTTTTTTGGTGTGTTTTTTTTTTTTTTTTTTTGAGTTAGCATGGACTGGAGATCACAGTCTAGCAGAGGAACATGAAAACTAAACTTCATTTCCCCCAACGTGCAGGTGCTCAGAGGGAACTTTCTAGTGCTAATCTGACCCGCACACCCTGCAGAGCACCTCACCTTCGATGGCCCCGCCGCCCCAGAGCACACCGCCCTGAGGACCAGGACCCCAGCCTCGCCTCCCCTCACCGCCCTCCACAAGCCGGCCCCGAGGCACCGCCGCTGTGTCCCAGATGCCCCGGAGGGTCCCAAGCCGTGTCTTCACACTGTGCCTTCGGCCTGCGCAGCCCTTCCTGGCAAACACCTTCTCTGATGATCGGGCAGCGGGAGTCTCCCAGCCCAAGCCCTCCAGCCCGGCTCAGTCTCCTGCACTGGTCCCTCCCGTGGGACCCACGCTCACAGTGACCTCCAGCAGCCGCCCCATCACCTAGGCCCAGAGGGCACCCACCCTCAGACTCAAGAATCGAGGTTAAAGAGGATGAAATCAAGCCAGGAGGCCAAGCACTTCCACGAACCACGTTCTAGCCTCAGCTAGAGGCCAGGACCGGGAGCAGCCGGCCCGATGCCACATAACTCGCCATCCCCAAGAGTGAGGGTAAGAGCCGCCTGGACTGGGAGCCAGGCTCCGAGCCAGGCTCCCAGGCACCGTCTCTTTTACTGCTCACAACAACCCTATGAAGGGCTATTAGTTTTTACTACTGTTATTATTATTGATTAATCATCGTAATAAGTACTTGCCACTTACAGCAAATGACTATTTCAAAGTCATTATGAATATAAGCAGCAAAGTTTATGCCTTGCTCTTGAACGTCACTAAATGGGACTTAAACGTCACTTACGCTTGAATTTCACTAAGAAAGGCCACATCACCTCATTTTTATCCCAACAGGGACCCTGGGAGGGTGACAGGGCAGAGGAAGCTGAGGCCCAGAGAGGGGGTGAGTCCTGGCAGGGCAGTGGGGAGTAGGGCCCATTCTCCTGGCACCCCCTTCCTCCATCCACATCAAACCCCACAGCAGGAGGGCCCAGCATCAGCCCCTCCACTTTCTCGGCCACCTGGGGCCTCAGGATGACCCCCACCCCCACCCCCCTGTGCCCTGCACCCTGGGTGGGTCCTGGCCTGCTGGCCTCAGCTCCAATGCAGACCAGACACTGACCTTGGGCCGCTTCCACCTGACGCCAGGCCCCGGGGTGCCCTTGTAGTACAGCGAGTCGTCGGTGGCTGGGAAGTTGGGGTCTTCAAAGAGCACCTTCCTGCGCCGACAGGCCCGCTTCAGGGCTGAGTAGTTCTGTTCTTCGTAGGGCTTCACGCAGGAGAACATGGTGGCCGCTGCCCAGGGCGGGGAGGCCAAGACAAGCCAGCAGAGGGCTGCGTAGGTGGTGGGTGCGTGGGCAGCCCCTGGGGCACCTGGGAGGACAGAGGTGAGAAGATCATTAGTTTCTGAGGCCTGGAGGCCCTGAGTCAGGTGATCCCCACCTGCCCCTCCCTGCATCCTCACTCCCATTAGCCAGGAATGAAGGCTCAGAGAGGGAGAGAGACCTGCCCAGGGTCACACAGCAAGTACACACAGAGCAGGAAGAGGAGCCAACTGATTTCTGATGCTTAGAGGTGACACCAGACCAGCTGGCCAACAGGCCTAGGGCACAACCACATGGTGCTCTGGGCTGCCAGGCCTCACCCACCCCCACTTCCTGTTTCACCAGCCTTCCCTAGACCTCCCCGGCCGGTGCACACCCGCAGAAAACAGCAGCACTGTCTCCAAGTCCCTCCTCCGGACCCTCGTCCTTGGTCTGGGGCGGCACAATTCTGCCCTGAGGGGGAAACCTCGACCCAGGCCCCATGCAGCCATCATTTACAGTCATTCCCTCTGGCCCCGCCCGCCAGCACTTCTGGAATAAATGTCTTCAGTTATCATTGCTCCTTCATCCCAATGGCTTAATTCCCCTGAAGGCCCCCCACCCCATCGCGTGATCTCCCAGTCCCCAAAGTCTGACCCTCCCAGGACAGCCTCTCAGACCTCAGTGTCTCACACTCCTCCGCAGCCCTTCCCCCTGGGCTTCAGGGCCCCTCCCCCATCTCCGACCTCTCCTCCCCCACTAGGGACCCCAGGGGTCTGCCTGCTCACTCCTGCCTCCCGAGCTAGTGACCCCTGTGTTCAGGCTGGACGCCTTTTCTGGGCCCCCGGCTGGCCCACTCCCTATGAGAGCCAAGGGCCCCTTCCCGGTACCAATCCCAAACCCAACTCCTCATCTCCCCGCACCTCGCCCCGACTCCCCAGCCCAGGGAATAGGCCCACAAGCACCCACGAGACCGGAAGCCTCGGAGGGCAGAGTGCACTTGGTCTGGTCCCCCTGCACGCACAGCCGCTGGCACAGAGCCTGGCACAGGAGGTGGCTGCACACATCATCCTCCCCTCAGCCCCCAGAGTCCAGGCAGACCCAGCCCAGCACCCTGAACCTCGTAGCCATGTCCCAACCAAACACGAGGGACACGGCCTGGACCGACCTGGCAAGGCCTCCGGGAGGGGAGGGCAGGGTGAGGAGCAACAGCCAGCGGGTGGGCCGACACATCAGACACCCTGACAGATGCTCAGAGAGCCGGGCACATAACTGACAGCCCAGGTACGTCCCGGAATCTCAGACTCCATCTGGGCTGCTGGCAGAGCGCTATACTCCCCTCGTCTACCCATCCTGGACCTGCCCAGGGCAACACTGCAGCCCCATGGAGGCACAGCTTCCAACGTCCAGTGCAGCTGAGGGAAACTGAGGCAAGGAAGGCTGGCTTCGGGGGCAACACAACTTTGAGAGCAAGACTGATGTGGGTGCCAGTCCCAATTGTACGACTTGTGCTGCGTGGCTTTAAACAAGTCCCTCAACCTCTCTGAGTCCCCATCTTATTATCTTCACAATGGGAACAATTATTGCTTCAATAATTGGAAGATAAAATTAACCAAAGGCCAAGGAGACTGCTTCGTGGGCCAGGGGGGAGAGGAAGGAGAAGGGAAGTGGGCAGGCCACCTCTCATTTCCGAGAGAGAGCCCCATTCCTCTGGCACCTCCCATGTGCAAACTGCGGGGCCAGAGGTGTGTGCATGGCATTTGCAAACAATGCTGGGCAGGCCTTTTCTGGTTTCCATTTTTCAGACAAGAGAACTGAGGCTCATGAGGGGAGGTGACTTGCCCACGTTCCATGGCGGAGTCTGACTCAAAGCCATATCCTCTGACTTGGTGCCTCCCCCTTGGCCTGGCGACCCCACAAGGCAGGAAGAAGGGCTGAGTTCCAGGCAGGGCAGGGCTCACCCCACACACACCCTGGCTGCGTCAGCCTCCCCAGAAGGGAAAAGGGGATCCACGGGGAAGGGAGAAGCAGGAAGGAAAGGAGGTGAGAATGGGCAATGAGCGTGGAACATGAGGGACAACACGGAGAGCCGGAGGGCCTGTGTCCCAGCTTCCCTGCTTTGGGCTGAGATCTGGTGTGTCCTCTGCACTGGACCCACGGCCATTTCATCTTCTGCCCCCACATCCTACTGGGACGGCTTGCTCCACTGCTGTGACCCCAGGCTGGCCACTTCACCTCTCTGCCACTCCTCTGCCCAGGAAGGCCCATAACTCTGCCGGCTCCCACCCAGCCTCTCAGCCTCGGAGGCCTGAAGGAAAGAGAGGGGGGAGCCTGGGGCGCCAGTCCCTGGGCCTCTGGCACACAGCCACCCAGGAGAGTCATTAGCAACGTGGCTTCCAGTTTCTGCAGGGCCTCTCAGGAAGCAATTTAAGCTGCGAGAATTAGATCAAAGAAGCTGAAAGCAGGAGCCCAGATATCAGCCCTCGCAGTTCCAGTGCTCAGAGCCCAAAGGGCCCAGGGAGCGGGAGCGAGCTGGCTGGGGTCACACAGCCCGGCTGCTGGAGGATGGGGGTTCTGGCGGCCCTCCAGGCTGCACAGCCAACACTGCTGGGAAGGCTTGCTCCTGGGGAGGACAGAAGGGAAGCGGGGAGGTGGGGGAGGGTAGGAAAGGGGAAAGCTCAGCTGGGCCGGGGCCTGGGAGAACCTGGGCCACCCCTGGCTGCTGAGAGTCTGACGAGTCCAGCCACCTCTCCTGCCTCACCCCTGCCAGCCAGGCTGACCCTGGCCTACGTATGCAGGCTCTTCTGGCCCGGCCTCTGCACAGCCTGCACCTCATGCTGACTACCCTCCCGCCCCTGCATTTGCCCCGGGGTCATTTCCCACTCCATCCACTGAGTCAATACTCCTGGGGTCACTGAGCCACCAGCCCCTGAACTTTGCCCTCTCCCTGCAGTTCCAGGCATAAGCACCGAAGGCCACGGATAACCCAGAGTCAGGAAAGCCAGGCCTCCCCTGCCGGACCTGCCGGGGCCACGGCACGGCCTGTCTTCTGTGCGAGCCAGGCACTAGCAGGACAGCCCCAGCTTCCCCGCGGCCCTTCCTCCTGCCCGCCCTCATCCCTCCGCCCTGCCAATCTCACCCACCCTCTGCCACCCCCCACCTACGTACAGCGATGCGAGCTCCTTCCAGCCCCCAGTGCTGTTCACTCAGGGCCTCTGCACACACTGCTCCTGCCACAAGAGCATGCCTGGAGGACCCGTCACCTGAAAGACGCAGCCACGTACCTCCCACCTGCCTCCAACACTGCTCCCCCCTCCGCCATCCTGGAACCCCCGTGACAGGCTCCTTATGTGGGACCCCATCTTTGTATGGCTTGTCCGTCTCTCCAGCCCAGCTTGCGCACCTGCAAGGCAGGGGCCATGCCCAGCTCCTGCCTGTGTCCCAGGGCCCAACATCGCGGGGCATGTTTAGTAACTTTGCACTGAATGAACCAGCATAGGTGCTACAGGAGGAATTCCTTCTCTGACGGGGAAGCAGGCTCACAGGGTGGAGGGACGCCGGGGGATCAGCTTTCCATGCCAGAGCGGCACCAGCTCTCAGGCCTCCTGAAGACAGGGCCCGCCCTCTCCCCGGGCCAGGCCGTTCTCTCTCCTTCCCTCCCCGCCTGATGGCTGGGTGCTCTCAGCGGCGGCCCGGCCTCTCTCCAGCTCCTGATGGAGACAGGGCTTTCGTTCCCCGTGTCCCCATAAGCTGTGGGATCCTGGACAGGCCACATGGCCTCGCTGGCCTGCCTGGTCCTAGTCTGGAAGGAAGAGATAATGTGCCAGGGCCTCTGGGAGGATCAAATGAGACGCGCAGCACGGAAGAGCGCTTTGTACACTTTAAGGCACTGCGCCCCGGGGACGGCAGCATCAATGTCTGGGGACGTCTACAAAGTTCCCAGACTCCGGCAGGAGGGTTACAGCAATTCAGGGTTTCCGCCGCCTACGAACTTCATGAATACAAGCAAAATGAAAAAATGTGTCATTTCAGAAGTTCCAGCAGGAGGGACACAAAGGCCTGGCCCCAGGAGTCAGATGTCCTTTAGGAGAGAACAACTCAGGAGAAGGCTCACGGCCCGGCTGGCGTGGCTCCGTGTTTGAACATCGACTTGTGAACCAGGAGGTCACAGTTCAATTCCAGGTCGGGGCACATGCCCAGGTTGCAGGCTCCATCCCCAGTGTGGGGCATGCAGGAGGCAGCCAATCAATGATTCTCTCTCATCATTGATGTTTCCATTTCTTTCTCCCTCTCCCTCCCTCTCTGAAATCAATAAAAATATATTTTAAAGAGAGAAGAGAGAGAAGGCTCACACAGGAAAGCGCAAAGCCATTCAGACACAGCTAGTGCAGTGGGGCCCTGTGGACCGAGCGCGGGGGAACTGAGCTGGGTCAGAACGAGAGCTTGCCAGGCAGCTCAGAGAACCCCGTCCTCCAGCAGGTCAGTCAGACCTGAGTTCAAGTCCTGCCTACACCACTTAGAGCTGTGTCCTGGGGCAAGTCACTAAGCCCTCTGAGCTGCTATCAGCCCCGCCTGATTCCAGCTTCTCAAGTGGCAGGGTAAGAAGGCGGCATCAGCCACGGGCCTGCCCTGCAGGAGTCTCTGTCCTCGCCGTGGAAACGTGGAGCACCCGCTCCCAGGAGGCTGCAGCCTGTCTGCTCTCCCCTGGATCTGTGGAGGTGTCCACACGGAGGACGGGGCAGAGAGACGGCTCATCTTGCAGCAGGCCACGCTGAGCAGCTGACTCCCAGGAGCCTCCCCTGGACAGTGCAGCGCCAAAGCCAGGAAGAAACAGGAGAGAGGGCTGTAGTCCCGTTTTGTAGATGAGAACGTCCAGAAACGTGTCCAAAACCTGCGGCTCGTCCGTGTTCCCTGTCCAGACCAGCTCCACCACGTCAAAGGTTTCCTTTAAGATCACGCTGACGTCCGCCCCGAGGCTGTGTACAAAGTCCTCGGTGTTCCTGAAAGCACGCCTTTCACAGCAGTCTTCAAAGTCTGCAGTAGAAGAAGGTAAAGTTTCTGCAGCCCCAA